TCCAATGTGGGTGTACACTTAGATGGGCTGGCCATGTTCATAGGCTCCCTAATAACCGCCTTACCAAGTTAATCTGGGAAGGAAGAAGACCCGACAGGGAGAAGGCCCTTAGGACGTCCACGAATGCGATGGAGAGATAATATATGGTCAGATTTGAGAACAATGGGGCTACCCACTGACTTAAACATCATGGACGACCGTTCGAGATGGAAGCAGGTTGTGCAGTCAGCCAAGACCCACCCCGGGTTGTAGTGCTACCAGAAGAAGAAGAAGAAGGTAGTGGGGTTGGGTTAGCGTCTACTGCCGTCTAGTACCAGCTAGTACCAGAGAACTACGAACCTAGTACCCTCCTAAGTAGTCCTTCTCTTGGTACCCACGAAGTAAGATGGGTCAAACGTTTTTCATTCGGATTTTATTACGCGTTGATGTCGGATAAGACGTTACCGCGTGGTTTCCATTTTTTAGAAAATTGAATTTAATCGAAGATATTTATCTGAAAAGGAGATTTTGGACGAAATTTCTAAAATAGAAGATGGAGAAAGCGATTCATTCATAGATGGCAGTGTAAGTGAAATTGACGACAATATTTTATCGGATCATGACTATGAGGATATCTAGTGTGATGAAAATGACGAAGGTATGGAAGAAGTACCTTTAGCAAATGAACCACTAGATGAGAGAAACTTTTTTGGGTACAGACAATGAAATAATTTGGACTGACATTCCATTGAGTAGTATACACTCTCGAACTCCTTTTCGAGAAATATTATTACCCACCTTCCAGGCGCAAGGGTAAAGCCAAAGGTCTTACTGACGAAATAAATAAAAAAAAAAGTAAAAAAAAAAGTTAGTCTTCGTAAGTGGGTATATTTATTTAAAAACCCTTAACAACTGGAAACTGAATTAGCAACAGTTTCCAGCTGTTCTCCGTGCGTAGAGGTTTTCTCCCCTCAGAAAGTTCCTCAACAAATTCTCATCCAGGTAATTCAGGAAAGAAGGTCACTAAAACCAGACAGACGAGTAATACGAAGAAATTGTTCACAATACCTGGGTTTGGGTTCCTGTCTATTATTGAACTTAGATCCTGACTTAGATGTTAGATCTCAAATAAAACAGGAAAGATCAATTTAAACAAATGATAAATCTATTAAAGTTGGCATTTTCAGAGGCTTAGACGTTTTTGAAAGTACAGCAAATCAAATTTTAATAATTACAGTAGGGCCTCGATAATCCGGACTCCTTCTGGTTTGGTGATCGCTGTAATCCGACCGGGCAATGGGATTCGCGCGCAAATGTAAGTGCGGGGGCTGTCGTGAGGTGACCCAATCTGTCGTCAGTCTTTTGTTTATCGCCTTTCGTCTTGGTACAGCGTCAACTTAGCGTTCTCACGAACGTGTAGTAGAAGTGTTAGATAAAGGTGACAGCTACTCCATCATTGCTAGGTTTGGTAGAGGCAAGTTAACGGTGTACGAAAAACACTGAAGAATTCGGAAAATCCCGTTTTAGAAGATGTTTTGTTTACGGTGGTTTTTGCAACAAAGACAATTACATGTTCCTGTAAGTAGTGATATGATTTGTGAGAAAAGCTCGTGTTTTTCATCGCCAGATTACAAATTCCAATATCGAGTTTAATGCAAGCGGAGGAGACAAATTTAAAAAACGCCACGGAATAAGACGTTTAAAAATGGCCGGTGAACAACTATCCAATGATGAATCTGCTATCGGACCATTCCAACTAGAGTTACAGAAAGTTATTAGTGAAAAAAAATAACAGCGGAACAAGTGTACAATGCTGACGAAACTGGTTTGTACTGGCGATTATTGTACGATCATACTTTAGCCTCTGCCAATGAGAAGTCAGCTTCCGGAAGGAAAATGATGAACATGAGAGTGATATTCATGCCTTGTGCAAATGCGGCTGGAATTCATAAACTTCAATTGCTTGTTGTCGGAAAATCAAAAAACCCACGGGCATTTAAATCAACACGTCTTCCTGTTTGTTATCGGGCACAAAAAAAAATGCTTTGGTTACGAAAGACTTGTTTTTAGAGACGTTTAAAACGAAAATTTTTTCCCGCGGTCCGTCGTTATCTTTTGTCTCTTAATTTGCCTTCTCGGGCACTTTTATTGTTAGATAATTGTCCTGGACATCCATCAGCAGATGAAGTTATCTCTGAAGACTGCAATAATTTTGCAATGTTCCTTTCAGCTAATACCACGGCCTGTATACAACCAATGGATCAGAACGTTATGAAAATGTGAAGTTAAATTACCACAATCCTTTTGGTTAATTGTATTGCATTATGTTCTGACAACCTCATCGGCACGTTAAACTCGATATATTTAAAGGACAATGTTTTTCTTCTTGGTAATTGCTGGGCCGATGTTAAGATATCTCTAATTAACAAATTATGGAAGAATTTGCATCCTGAATTTTTCACTGATAGTGATAAACCAGAAGATGATGTTCCCTTAGGCCAGATTTTAATAGGTTGAAAGGACCCAATAATCCTCAAATGAGTGATGCAGAAGCTCAATAATTGGCTGGTGGTGCCGAAAGTGAGATACAAAGATGTTAACTGATAGGAGATTGTGCGAGCGGCTGTGTGAGGACAATGAACAAGATAAGGAAAATACAGTCCTCCCTCTCTATAACGATATTCAGGGGACCGGGAATTTTCATCGTTATAAGGAGAGATCGTTATACAGAGAGAGACAAAATTCGGTACTGTAATATTAATATTACTTTACTAAATAAACTACATATTTTAATTTAAAAATTTGTCAAAACGAATATAGTTGAATTAACACTGTATTGTACACCACAGATTTATTAAAGAGTAATATAAGCAATGCAGTATAAAAAAATGACTGTACAATTAATACATGTGTACTGTACAATAAAAAATAATATGCTACTGTAAAATATATTTAGCCTACATTACCAAAAAACTCTGTCACCTTGGTCTGTTTCCTTTTCCCTTTCCACAGAACTGACCTGACCCTGTCCTGAAGAGGCATATAATACTCCACAGTACTCATATCGTCTTCCTAGTGAATGAAGAATCGATGCAATACTTTTAGTGTATCCAATTCCTACTTCCGGGTCACTGTTTTCGTCTTCCTCTACACGAACTGCTTGTAGGATGTTCTCGTCAGACAATCCAGATGTAGCTACATTTTCATCAACTTCTTCAAAATCTGTTAGCTCTTCCGATCTGTAGGTGATAAGTTCAAACTGTCTGGCCCAAACATCTAATGGCAGGTCATTTTCATCATCGGCCATTCCTTGATCTTACAGCCATCCTGCGTGTTTGAAGGAATGTTTTATTGTACTGCTCGTCACCTCCTCCCAGGATTTACTAATCATTAGGATTGCATCAAGAATGTTTAGTTTAAGATCGCCTTTGTTCTCAACCAATTCTATCAAAAGTCTTCTCCTGTAGTGACTTTTTAAACTCTTGATGATACTTTGATCCATCGGCTGAAGGACACTCGTTGTGTTTGCTGGCAGAAAACAAAGATCAATGTTTTAAAGGTCGCACAGCACAGGATGAGCAGGACAATTGTCTACCAGCAAAAGAATTTTTTTCTCGTTAAACTCGACATCCCACTTTCTTATCGCTTCTTCAAAAATTGCCAAAGTCATCCACGACTCTTGTTTGCTTTATAGGTCACCTGTGGATTTTTTATGTTTTTAAAGCAACGTGGGTTTTCATCTTCCCTATCACTAACAAATTTTCGCTTCACCGAACCTGTCGTGTTAGCGGAACCTAAAACTGTAATGCGTTTCTTAGAGAGCTTTCCACCAATGCACTTTTCCGATTTAAATTTTAAAGTTCTGGTTGGTCTCATTTTTAAAAAACAATCCAGTCTCATCAGCATTTAAAATGTTGTCTGACGCATATCGTGCCTTCAGTCCGAGCCACACGTTTTCTAGCCATTCATCCTTTATATTTTTGTTCATCGTGCGCGCTTCTCCGCTGATTTGCCCATAGTTGATCTTGTGCCGCAGCTTCCACTTGCTCAGCCAACCCTCAGATACCTTGAAATTCTCAATTCCAAGATCAGTTGCAAAAAAGCACAGCTTTTGTCCTGACCACAGGCCCAGAAAGTGGAATATGGTTCATACACTGCTGCTGGAACCACTGTAGCATAGCGCGATCTTAATTTTCGTGCTGAGGTTTCCGCAACTTTTTCTCCTTTCAAAAACAAAACAACCGCTGGACAATGACCTCACCACTCTTGACTCAGGTAGTCTGAACTTAAAACACAATAACACATTTGTCACATACTACTAAAACGCCAAAAAGTCATCGCTATAAAGAGAGAACGATATCGGTATAGAGAAAGAATTAATACGTTGTCCTCATGACGACCCAACCAACGTTCACTATTTTCATCGTTATATAGGGAATCGTTATAAAGAGAGACTACTGTAGCATTGAAGTTCTTGCCGCAGAAAAAGTAGATAGTTCAGAGGCAGTAGGAGCTTTCAACACAGTTTTAAAATAGGCTGAAGGAAACGAATTTGATGAAGAAAAGACAAAGCTATGTTTCTCCGTTTGCTTAGATATCGGGCTTTTGAAACAACGTCCGGAAGAGCATTACAGACTATTTCAAGAAAAATTAACTAATGTTTTATTTGAAATCACTGTTTTTCTTACATGGTTGTAATTTTAAATATTTACATTTTTTTATACTATAATTTAAAAATCGAATAAAGAAACTAAAGTTAAACATTATGTTTTATTACCATTAAATATGGCATATTATAATCCGGATGCCTCGATAATACGCAAAGGGTCTTGTTTTGCCTCTCCGGATTAACGAGGCCCTACTGTAGTTGTTTCCAATCTAAATGGATCATACTGTATTAAAATGTTAAATTCCATTAAGATGTACACAAAACTAACAGCTGTGTTAAAAATCACAATGCGATAATTTTAATTTTTGTGATGAGTGAAAATATCCCGATATTTTTATTTATGGTTAGGTAATTAGAACTGCATGTTTTATGTGAATACACATTTTCTATCTATTACAGTTACTGTACGTGAAACATTATAAATTATTTACTATAATTAAAAGATTTTTATTTTTAAATTGTTTATAAATCTTAAACTGATTTAAATAATAGCACAAACGTGATAAACAAAGTGAAAAGATATTGGATATGTTTAAATATCATTCTCTAGTTAGAAAGGGAAGTTTTTCATGCAAAAATGGAATGTTTAATACTTAAAATCGTTTTTATATCTGCGTTTAATTTAGTTATTCATACCCAAAAGGCAGATGGAAGTCCTGCACAATTACTTCAATCACTACTCATTTTTCCTGGTAAGTAAACGTCATTCAACTACTTGATTTTTCTTACATAAACCAGGGAAATAAGCAACAAAAAGTACCCTGTTTGTGACACTGAACCAGCCAGGCAAAAGGCAGTTGACCAATATAAATCTGTGTCTGGTCAAGGGTACAGTCATATTAAAATAAAAACACCTAGCAATGCCGTTATTTCTTCTTGGCTAGTGTTTTTGTAATTTTCTGTTCTTCCAAGACACTTTGATTTTCTTGTGGGTCATTCTTAGATGTTCTTTCTGTTGTGAAATTTACATCAACGGATGTAGAAGGAACAGCTTCACCAGCTTCACAATTGCCTTATTCTGCTATCAATAACATCTTCATCGGGCTTACCGCAAACAAAAGTAGATGGGGATGGTATAAAAATATCATCATCAGCATCAAAGTCGAGATCAACATCAGACCAATCTTCCTCTAAGGCAGCAATAAGTTTACTTTCTGATAATCCGCTTCTACTTGAGTCTTCTCATGACTTCGCTGTTTGATTAACGATCCACCCATGAAAGAGAATAGGACAACGGACGTAACTGTCTATGCTCACTGATATTCTTCCTCAAATATTGGCAATATTACAGGAAAAAGTAAAAAGTCAGAATCTGTATTTGTATTTTCGATGCATCTGGAAAGAGGTTCTGTTTTTCATACTTTTTATTTGTTTAATATTAAAGTCTATGGGCTGTTTAGGATGTAGATAAACTCTATAAACCATGGAAAGTAGCTTAATAATATAGATCTGAAGCTATTTTCTTGTGGCATTTTAAATTAATTACTATTTAACTGGAAATAAGCCACAATTAAAGATAAAAATACGTTTATTGACGTTTCAATTTCCACTTCGGAAATCGTTCTCAAAATACAAACAGTAAATTAAACAAATTTTGTTTTTTGTTACATAGTGAAAAATTCTTCTAATAATTTAATTTTATCTGACTCATTTATATTGACAATTCAGACATACATTATGCATTTTAAAGTAGACGACTTTAAAATGATATTGCCAATATTGTTATAAAAAAAATTATTGGTAAGAAAAGAAAAATCAAAGAAGCGGCTTTAATTATGCTAAATGAGGCCAATTGTGTAGCAAATTCCTCGGCAGAATGTGGTAGGATCTTGTTACCAATATTGAAAGAGGAAGTTATTAATAAAAAATATCAGTATTAGTAAGTCAGTAACATATAGAGGATACATCATTTATGTTTTTTAAATAACGAAACATATAAAATCAGAATTTTGGTGTTTATTGAAGGTAAACTAAATGCACGAACAAATACTTAACATGTCGGGATAGTATTATGAAGTTTTTTTCCTGGTTTTTTCCTCATAATTTACTATGGAATCACTAACGGGAGAATTTTACTGTCATCATGTCATGTGTTTGTCTTTTTAAAGACGAATTATATGCTATGATTTTTTCTGACGGATATTCTCAAGTTAAAGTTGATTTCATGTAATCGAATGAACTATCTTATAAGTAAAGTCGTCCCAGGAGCGCAACTCAACAATATTGGCAATATCATTTTAAAGTCGTCTACTTTAAAATGCATAATGTATGTCTGAATTGTCAATATAAATGAGTCGGATAAAATTAAATTATTAGAAGAATATTTCACTATGTAACAAAAAACAAAATTTGTTTAATTTACTGTTTGTATTTTGAGAACGATTTCCGAAGTGGAAATTGAAACGTCAATAAACGTATGTTTATCTTTAATTGTGGCTTATTCCCAGTTAAATAGTAATTAATAATATAGAATCACCAATTTTTCTTTTAATCAAATTTGGTAGTTGTCTTGTGTAATGGTGTGTTCTGCAACAGTTGAAAGGCGACAGTTGTATCTATCCAAACGTCTTTTTACATAATTTTTTCTGGTTCCAATATACACTGAACCATAACTACAGAGAACGCAATAAATTAGATAGAAAGAATTTAAGACCACGGACTATAAATCCAGAAAACAACGAATATATTATAAAATTCCGACCGTAAGCCTACTTCCCCTTTATATGCTAACCTTAGAAAATTGACAATTATCATGGACAACTGCTCTTTATTTAACACTGTCCTGAACAAGTCAACGCAATTGCATCCAAACTAAGTTCTCTGGTTGTTCAACCAAAAAATACAATTCCCCTTCGACTTCTTTTTCCTTGCTTTATTACTTGAAGCCTGTTTTAGCCCTCGCCTCTCTTGCTATAGATTAGATATAATAAATTTCTGATCTTAATTGTATTCAAAATTTGATCTTTGCTACATAATAATCTTCATTTTCTAAACGCATTTGTTATTTGGCCCATTATTGTTTTAATTTCTTTAGTGTATTCATTCTTCTTATTCTTCCTTCTTGTATGTAGGCTTTAAAGCCTGTTTCTTCTTCAATATTAGCCTCCTAAATTGTTTAAATTATCGCACCATCTTGTTCTTGGTCTGCCAATACTTCTTCGTCCATTTGGTCACTTACCCCGTGCTATTCGTACTATCATATTATAATGATTTTATTAGTCCTAATTTATTGTCTTTATTCTAATTTATTTAAAACTCACGATAATTTATCAAAAGTCTTTATTTTACACTTAATAGTTACAAATAATTTATTTGCATCCGTTACAATTTAACGCGAGATCGCAATGTTCTTTTTGACTGACTGTCCTCAATGAGAATCGCCGTTATTGATTTGAAACACCGTTATCTGGAAGGATCTGGCGTGAAGTACACGAAAGTTGACCTGAAAAGTCTCGAACCTTTTTCCAGAAAGATCGAGTAGTAGTTGACCGCTTTCATATTGAAGGGGGACCCATAGTCTCAGGTAGGTTTTTTACCTGCGTCTCGGCCGGTTCGTGATCTAGAAAATACGTGATTAGTCATAATGTATTTACAGTTTTTACACGTCATAATATATTCATTATTTATATTTTATTTATCGTAACACTATCCTCTGTCATTCTACTGTGTTTGCTCCAGTCCTGTTTCCGTTTTGTCGCCCGTCCATTTATATCTTCTATATTGCATGCTCTTTTTATGTCGTCGCTTCTCTTCCTATTCAACAGACTTTTCCCTAATATTCGTCCGAGTATTTTCATCTCTGCTGTTTCTAGTAATCGTCTCGTTTTAGATGTGTCAGGTCGTGTCTCCGCCGTGTATGTTAATTAGGTCTAATTGCTGCTTTATAGATTCTTGTTTTTGTGTCTTGTCTTAGGTGTTTGTTCTTCCAGATGGTGATTAAAAGATCCCACAGCTTTACTTGCTTTTAAGCTTTGTTGTCGTATTTCTTCTTCAACATGTCCGTAACTAGTTAGATCTATTCCTAGATATCTAAACATTGCTTCCTGCTTTATTATTTTCCTATCAATTTCGATTTTACATCGTAGTGGATATTTAGATGTTGTGATACATTTAGTTTTTTCTGCTGATATCATCTTGTATTGCATATTGTATTTCTTGGCTGTTGTATTGAAGATGTGCATTAATCTTTAGAGCTCGTCTTCTGTCTCGGTCATTAATGCGGCATCGTCTGCATAACATAATATTTATATTTCTTTGATCCCCATTCTGTAACCATGACATTTACGTACTGCTTGTATTATTACGTTCCTTACTGTATTAAAGAGATGTGGGCTTAACGAGTCACTCTGGCTGATTCCGCTTTGTACTGGTATACACACTCTGTTAGTTTTCCATTTAACTTTGCCTGTATTCGATTATAGAAGTAGATTTTTTCGATGGTTTGTACAACATTGATTGGTATGTTTCTTATATACAGTAGGTATAAGACGTAGACTATATAACGTAGATATGCTGGTTTATTGTACTCGATGGCTTCTTGGATATAAATACGGCTTCTACGCAGGATCGTCCGGATATGAATTCTTGTTATTAATCTGATAAAGTTGTTAGTTTATTGATTTTTTTGGTTAGGACTTTTGTGATAAGATTAAGTGCGGTGTTCAGTAGATTTATACCTCGATAATTGTTGGGGTATTCTTAATCTCCTTTCTTAAACATTGGTACCATTATGCCGTTTCTTCGTGCGTCTAATATCTTGCAGTGTAATATTAGTTGCTGTATAAGTTTTATCATCTCTAGGGTTATACTTACTCCTCCGTGTTTTAGAAGCTCTTTGGTTGTTCCGTCTGGTCCTGGTGACTTTCTATTTTTGAGTGAATTTATGGTTATCTCTACTTCCTGGTACCTGGTACTTTCTAATTCAGGTACGTTATGTTTTGATTATTATTTTTCTTTAAACAGTTTCGTCAGGTATCTTTCCCATGCGTTTGCTGGTATGTTATTGTTTTCCTTCAATTTTGCCATTTCTTTTTGTTGGTTTCTTATGAATCTCCATTTTTGTTTTTGTGTACCGTAGAAATCACTTTCCGTCCTTTTGTAAACTGTTCCCAGTGTTCAATTTTTGTTCTTCTTACCAACTGTTTTATTTCATTTCTTCTATAGGTGTCCGGGTCTGCGGTATTTGCTGTTTTGTATTCATTATCTTCATTAATATTTGTTTCCTATTATGTTATCTATGTATTATAAAGATTTCCCGAAAAAAAAAATTAAAACTAAATTCAATATTTACCTACATTTTTTCCAGAAAGGTGATTTTGAAAGTCTATTCTTTTGACGAGATATATAATTCTATTTATTTATTATAGGAACCAAATGGTGTGGTGTAGGTAGCATTGCAGAAAATTACGATGATTTGGGAATGGAGGAAGAAACCGACAAATGTTGTCGGGAACACGACAACTGTCCGGATATTATTAAGGGATTTAGTACCAAACATGGATTAACCAATCCTACTTTTTATACAAGGTAAATATTGTTATAGAAATATTATTAAGAAGAAGGGGCATTGTCAACCAAGGATCAGAACTACTACCGGAAATCAAAAACGTAAACCCTAAGAAAAGCTAAGAATAACAAATCTCCAGGCGAAGATTGTGTATTGTGAAGATTACTGGTGCAATGAAAATAGGAGGCACTTGCCTACTTAAGAAAATAAAAAACCTTTTTACATGTGCCTTTTGGACAGTAATATACCCGACAAATGGCACAATACTGAGGTAATTCAATTGTACAAAAAAGGAGATCCCATGAATTAGAAAACTACAGACCTGTAAGCGGGATTTCGTACCGGATTTGGAACATATGATCAACTACAAAGTATTGAAACAGTAATAGAAAAGACTATCGAATATAATCGACCACTCGTTCTGGCTTTTATAGATTTCCATAAAGCCTTTGACATGGTAGAATTTGGTAGAGTCCGGCAGGATGATACCTTATCGCCTAAACTGTTTACCGCAATACTAGAAGATGTTTGTAAAAACCTTAACTGGGAAGAGAAAGGCCTGAGCATTGACGGTAGAAGATTAACAAATTTGAAATTGGCAGACCACATAGTTTTGTTCTCGGACAACGTCAAGGAGATATGTACAATGCTACATGAACTTCACTTAGTGTGTGCCAGTGTAAGTCTTAAAATAAATATTGCTGGTGGAAAAATACATATAACTTGAACACGAAATAAAGATCACAGGAGACAACCAAACATGCGAACTACGAAGAAAAATAAACCTAGCATGGGCAGCCTATGGAAAACCCAAAGACATCTTTAAAAGCGATATACCTATTTCTTTAAAACGTAAAACATTATACCAATGTGTGTTGCCTGTGATGACCTATGGTGCCAACACTTTGATATTGACAGCTAAAACTTCTAAAACACTGCAAATAGCTCACAGTAAAATGGAAAGGTCAATGCTGAGAATATAGCTTCGTGACCAAGTTAGAAATGAAGATTTGGAGTTGAAGATGAAGAACAGGAGTTACCGATGTAATTTCCCGAATTCTATCTATAGCCCAAAATCTATTCATTCCGTCTTTTCTACATTGGACCTGCGCTTTGCTCAATGTCATCTTTCCATCTCATTTGCGGTCGACCTCTTGACCTTTTTGCAGTATATGGTCTCCAGCGCCCAATTTCTTTATTCCATCTTCCATCCTGATATCTTTCGTTATGCCCAGCCCATTTCCATTTTAATTTCAATGCATGTTCGACAGCGTCTGTTGTTTCGGTTTTGCATCTTATCCACTCGTTCCTCTTTTTATCTCTCAACGATATTCCCAACATTTGTCTTTCCATAGCTCTTTGAGTTTTCTTTATTCTATCTAAGTTGCTCTTGGTACACGTCCACGTCTGGGCACCATATGTTAGAACAGGTAGGACGCATGCATTAAATACCTTCGTTCTTAATTTTAAAGGTATTTTTTGGTTTTTGATAGTATATGAGAGTTTTCCGAATTTCCCGAATTGCCACACTAAAATTGAACTGTCCGGACACGTTGTCCGAATCAGTGATGAAAGGTGGATGAAGAGATTGCTTGAGTGAAGGCCGAGGTTAGACAAAAGAAGTAGAGGAAGACCCCCTACTCGTTGGACTGATGATCTCAAGAACATGTCAAGACATTGGATGAAAAGTGCTCAAGATAGGATGGACAAAAATGGGGGAGGCCTCTGTCCAGCAGTGAACGCAAAGCGCTGGGTGATGAATATGATGAAGTATTTTTGTATTTACGGGTCCTAAATTATCTAGTTAGTTATCATAAATATATTAATGTATAATGAATATGCTTCATTGATATGTTTTAATCATCATCATCATCAGTAGTTCAACAGAACTTTTGATTCTTACTGGAATGTTTTTCCTTTCTCATCTACCAACATCTAGCCACAACGACACTTTTATGATCCTGCTTTTCTGGTTCTTGTACGCTATCTGCAATTCCGTTGAAGGTTGCTTATCAATCCACAATTGTAATACTTTGACCACCCTTGATGTTTTTGTTTCAAAGAATCAGCTATTGGGCCAATATACTTCTCAATTGGCGGCAACTCGTACGCATTTAGATCACACTTCGATAATATCTCTTATTTGATGATATTTGCGTTGGTGATGGGACACATTCCTTATGGTTTCATACTCCAAGTCTGCGACAATGGAATTCTTTAATATTTGGTAACGTCTGCTGGAAGTCTAAATTGCGCATGCCTTCGAGCAAGCATCGGATGGTATATTCTTGCACAGATTCATTGAAGCCTTTAATACGCACTTTCAGTTCTAGACTGATAGTCTCACTGTTTTGTGCATTCTATGAGATGTTCTAGAGGATTTCACAGCTTTATCTCGATTATTAGCACTTCGGGCTGTATCCTTCTGCTCATTCGCTCTTCAATTATTTTGCATAGGGGCCTCGAATTGCTTTCTTATACAGGCCAGGAAATCTCGCTGTCAAATGTAGAACGCTTAAGTACTCCGTTGGCAGGGGAACAAATCTCTTCTGGTTTACCTTCAACTACAGTTGCTTGGTCGTCAATTTGTAGGAGGGATATTTTTAAGAGTCTTTCGTTACCTCATCATGTCTTGTTCACTTAAATTTCTTTAATCATGTCTTCATTTGTCCCTTTCAACTTTCTTTGATCTCTTTTTAAGGCTTCTTTTTTTATATTTTATATAAGATTTCATGAGCAACTTCTCTCTATTTTTCTTCTAACGATATCTCTCTTCAGTTGTTCTTTTTCTTCCAGAAGATGTTTCACTTCAGCTTCCTTTTCTTCCTAAAGACGTTTCCCTTCAGCTTCTTGTCAACGTTTTTCTTTTTCTTCTTGATGTTTTTTATCACCCTCTTTTTTTCTCTTCGACTTTGTTCCATTGTGGCAATCATATCTCAAATTTCCTCCTACATGGTCTCACTTCTGGTTTTAACCATACAAATTCTCGAAAATAACTTTTTTTCACTGAATCCTACTTCTGACACTAATTGTTCCGTAGTTGTGTGAGTTCAGATATTAAGTGAAGCACAACTTGGTTTAACTGACTTTATTTAACTCAAAAACTCACTTAATTACTTACTACAAATAATTCCAGAACCCATAAATTCTCGAAGGTCATCATTTTATCAGAATTACTGGAATATTTCGGCGGTAGAATTCTCTAAGGCACAGGACCGCAATCAGGGGTATCTACTCATAGTGTGTTAGTAATATCAATGTATACTGATCGTAAATCGTAAAAACAATTTACTCAGAAAACCGGTGTCTTGTTTGTCTCAAATAGGCGTTACCGCAGAAACGTAAGATTATCGATCAAATAGTTGACGAGTTCATGTGTCGCATCTCGACCTTATTATATACTTACAATAATGCCATATATATTTAAATATTATAATGAATCTATATTTTAGGGTACATTGTGATTGTGATGCAAAATTTTATGACTGTCTTAAATCGACAGGGAAGTTATCTTCAATCGAAGTATCTGCCATCTATTTTAAAGTTTTACATACACAATGTTTTAAAAAAGAACACCCAGTTTTACGCTGTACAGAAATAACTAAGTAAGTATTTTTTTGCTAAACCTAAAAATTAGGAATTTTTTGTGGTCCACAAAATTAGTGAACAAATTTTGGGAGGATCTGTAATTTTTGTAAAAAGTTCCGATGCAAATAAATTCAAGTAGTACATATTAGTTTAATGTTTTGATATCAAATTTATTTAACATCCCCCAAAAATACATTTGACTAATAAAAGCAACAATGTACTTGTCAACAGCAACTATCAGAATACAAAATGAACTCACTAAGAACTTTTCAATAGTCAAAATTTAAAAGTCACCATAAATGTTATCCAATTAATAGTAATATTAAATGAGGACACTAAAAGTAAAGGGGTATAAGTAACGTTTTTGTAAATATTGAGAAAACTGCACCGCTGAACTGGAAATCTTACATTCTATTTCGAGGTAAAGAGATCTAGGCGAGAAGTCTAACAGGTGCTGCTTTCCGGCGGCAAGTTACTTAGGCTCCAAACCAACTATGAGTAGGGCTTGGAAGAGAAGAGATACAAGAGCACTTGTACCTCTGTTCCACTGTGTTAGACTGTTAGTTGAGTTTGCTATCATTTTGGATGGGTAGTGGTACTACTCCTTAGTAATACTTTAATGTAAACTGCTGCGTTTTTTGCGGAATACAATGAAGTGGAAGACGTATACTCCATTATTGAAGACACAATAAGAAATATTTCATCTAAAGAACCACTCATAATCATGAGCGATTTTAACGTTAAGGTATGAGAAACAAGAAATGATAACATTAAAAATGTCGGAAACTATGGGTTAGGTCTTAGAAATAGTCGAACCGAACGTTTAATAGATTTTGCAACGGAAAACAGTTTGGCCATTGTAAACACAATGTTCAAATATCATGCCCGTCGTAAGAGCTGAATGTGGATCCGATCATAAATTGTTATGGGCTTGCTTCAAGATGAGGCTAAAAAGAACAATGCTGCACCAAAATCAAAACAGGCTGGAGATTTCAAATCCGAAAACATTTAGAGATGCCTTAAAGGAAACTAGTATGTTGAACATACAAGATAACCCAGAAGAAATGTGGAAAGGTTTTAGACATGCCATAGAAACCTCTGTAGAAAGAACCACAACCGAAAAAAAGATCAACAAGATAAAACACTGGATGAAAGACAGAACGCTGCAACTTCTCGAAGAGCGAAGAATAATCAAATCTCTCATATATCAAAACGACAGCAACAAAACGAATTAGCAAGATTAAATAGAGAAACATATAAATGAAGAACGTGAAGAACTAGAGAGATATGCAAACCGGTATAAATCCCATGACCTATATAACAAAGTCCGATATCTATTCAGGGAATTTAAACCAATCACACAAACAATAATGGATCAAAAATATTATAAATGGCGAGAAACGGATTGCGGAGGTATGGAGAAAATATTGTCAAAGTCTATATGCAGATGATCCCCAGAATGCAAATCACGATGAGTTCACTGCACAGAGAGAACCAAACATTCTAAAGTCAGAGGTAAAGAAGAAATCTTTCTTTCTTTCTTTCTCCCCTTCCTTTTACCCTATCAGGGTGTCGGATTTACGCTAGCTATTTTAATTTCCATTTACCCACCTCTTCCATTCTTTTCTGTTTCCTGCCATTATTTTCAATTCCTTGAGTGATTTTTGTTTAAATTTTCCCGCCTCTACTACTTGCTGTATCCATTTTTTTCTTGGTCTACCTCTTTTTATTTTTCCGGTATTTTTTGCTTCATAAACTTTTTTTGTTATTCTATTGGATTGCATCCTCGTCAGATGCCCATACCAGTTCATTTGTCTCTTTGCTATTTTGTTCATTATCGGTTCCTGGTTGGCCATTCTCCTAATAGTCTCGTTGCTTAATCTATCCCATTTTGTCTTTCCAACTATCCTTCTTAGATGTCTCATCTCCATTGCGTTTATCCTGCTCTTATGTTTTTTAAGAATTGTCCAGTTTTCACTTACATAGAGCACAGTCTTTTTTTTTTCTCGGTTTTTCACACGGTTTTTATTCTTGTTTCTCGTGTAAGTTCTCTTTTTCCCATTATTGGGGCTAACGCATAGTATAACTTGTTTGATTTCTTTGCTCTATTTGTTATTTCCCAGTCTATTTTTCCATCATTAGTTATTATACTTCCCAGGTATTCGTAAGTTTATCTCCATTTTTAGTTCTTCTATTTGTTCTACCCATATATCCATTAGTTTCTGCATTTTATTCTCGGAATCTGCTATTAGTACTATGTCGTCTGCATACATTAAGGACTCTATTGTTACCGGTTGTAATCTGTGGTAGCCTATTATTGTCTGTAGTTGATTGGTTCTGATTCTAGTGTTTCTTAACAATTCGTTCATTACTATTATGAATAGCAAAGGGCTGAGACTATCTCCTTGTTTAATACCTCTCTTCCAATTAAATGCTTCCGATCTTTCCCCTGTTATTTGTACCCTTCCTTTTACCTCTTTGTAAGTACTTTCTATAATTTTTATCAATGCATTAGGTACATTTATTTTTCTCAAGCATTTCCCTATAATATGTCTTTCTATCGTGTCAAATGCTGCTCTTAGGTCTATGAATGCTAATACAAGTTTTTCGCCCGTATCTATGCTTCTTTCTATTAGGTTTCTAATGATATATATATATATATATATATATATATAATATATATATATATATATATATATATATATATATGTTGTCATTTGTCTGTCTTCCCGGTCTAAATGCCGTTTGTTCTTCTCCCAATACCATTTCTACTTCTTGTCTCAGTCTCTTCTCTATTATTTTCGTATATATTTTAAAACATACCGATGACAGACATATTGCTCTATAGTTGTCGCAGTTTACATGTTCTCCTTCTTTGTATATTGGCACGATGATATTCTTCTGCCAGTCTTTAGGTATTGTTTGTTTTTCCCACGCCTCTTTATATATTTTCCATAGCCAGTTTATTCCTTCTTCTCCCATGTATTTTACCATTTCCGGTTTAATTTCATCGTCTCCACCTACCTTGCCTATTTTTATATTTGATAATCCTTCTATTACTTCTTCTCTACTCATTTGCTCTAGCTCTGTGTTTTCTTCGCCTTCATTGTTTATATTGTCTTCATTTATTACTTCGGTATCAATTTTTTTCTCATAATATTCTTTCCATACCCTAGCTACTTGTTCTGGGCTTATTTGTATTTGCTCGAACATTCAACCTCATTTCATTTATTATTTGTATTTGGTTTGAAGTATCTCTTACTGCGTTTATTTCCTTTCGTCCTCCTTGCCTTATGTGTCGTATTATTGTCCAAAAGTTTCTATTATTTGTTATATATTCTTCCTGAAGTTCTTCTCCAAATTCTTTTCAAAAGAAGAAATCAAAAAGTTGAAAAATAGAAAATCTACTGGCGCAGACCAGATCACCGCAGAAGTTTTAAAATAGACTAGAGATGTGGGAGTAAATGTTATCCATATGATCTGCAAAAAGATTTGGAAAACCGGAGAGTGGCCCAACGACTGAACAACATCCACTTTCATCCCTATATTCAAAAAAGGAACTCATGCAAGCAAGGTTCTACTTCATGTAATACATGAAAGACTAAAAGCTTTTCTATTCCCTCAGATATCAGAAGAACAATCCTGATTTGTCGCAGGAAAAGGCACAAGAGAACACATTAATGTCAGACAGCTAATCGAAAAAACTCGTGAATTCAATACTCCTATGCTTATGTGCTTTGTGGATTATTGATTAATGGATTATGGAGCTATGGTCCATACTAGTGGAAATGGGAACACCCCACCACTTATTTTAATTAATTAGAAGTCTATATGAAAATAATAAGTACACAGTAAAAATAAACAATACCCATTTCGATCATTTCAGAAAAGAGGCAGGTGTCAGGCAGGATGCATAATCTCGCCAACTCTATTTAATATATACAGCGAACACATTATGCGAAAGTTACTAGACTGATGGAAGGGTGGAATATCAGTAGAAGGTAAAAAAAAAATCTGTAACTTAAAATATGCTAATGACACTTTAATAATCGCGGCAAATCAAGAAGAAATGGAAGACATAATGAGATGTCTGGAGGAGAAAAGCTAAATAGGAGTAAGACAAAGATCATGATAGTAGACAGAGCTCGGAATAATCTTCAACACATTATAGAAATTGGGAGCTTTGAAATAGTAAATAGTTTCATATACCTGCGGTCCCTAATAACAAATTACGGAGGGTGTGACAGAGAGATACGTAGAAGGTTGACTATTGCTAGAACAGCTATGATGAAACTGGTAACAATTTGGAAAAATTCTAGCATAACAATACACACAAAACTAAGGCTGGCAAGAGCACTCATTTTTCCCATAGCCACATATGCATCCGAAACGTGGACCTTAAAGAAAGCGGATAAAAATAAACTAGACGCTTTTGAAATGTGGGTATACCGCCGCATGTTAAGAATATCCTGGATTGATCATCGCACTAAGGTATCGATATTAGAACAACTTAAAGTAAAGGATAGATTGCTTAAACAAATACAACAGAGATATTTGCAGTATTTTGGACACATTGCTAGAAGAACAGGTATGATGGAAAAACTGATAGTCGAGGGTAGAGTTGAAGGAAAGAGACCTAGGGGAAGATCTCCAAGCCGTTGGGTAGATCTAACAAAAATATTAATTAACCATGGGTTACATGAAGCCGAACAACTAGCCCACGACAGAGAAGGATGGAGGGAAATCGTGAAAAAACTGTAAAGGCCTGATGCTGTCACCACATCCCAAAAGGAATTAGGACTGAGGAGGAGGAAGATAGATGATTTATCTGCTAATGCGTTTCCACCACCAAAGCAGACAGGCAAGAAAAGGATTCGGAGGCCAAATAAGTGTAAAAAACAGGGCTATATAGCAAGAAATTTAGGTGAAGCTTACATGGACAAAAAAACACATTTTTTAAAGAGTATTGAGCATTGGTCACTCGAATCTCCCAAACAGTTTTTATAAATCGATTTATACAGACTAAGTCCATACAAAGAAAATAACTAAATGCAGTTAGCAACAAAGAGGTGTCATGTGTTTATATTCTGCATTAAAAAATCATGGCAATTACAATGAAGGCTCAATTTTAAAAGCCATTTACTTAAAACTTTTTTCTTGTCACTGATCCCCTTTACTTCTAGGGTTCTCAAATCATCTGTTTAATTTTTATTCTAGATACTTCTCGTTTTCAAATAATTTCATATGACGGATTTTTACAATTATCTTTTCGACTATAAAAGAGTTATTAGTAAAACAATTTTAATATTGTTCTGAAGCTATTTTCTTGTGGCATTTTAAATTAATTACTATTTAACTGGGAATAAGCCACAATTAAAGGTTAAAGTACGTTTATTGACGTTTCAATTGTGAAAATTGAAAAAGAACTATTTACTGACAGGGGTTAGTTACCCAACGCATCTCAATCTACAACAATGTCAAAGCATTAGAATTATATTAAAGTACAAAGAGTAATAGCTGTGTTTTTCTGAGTGAATAATGGTGAATTAAAACCCTGTCGAGTTTCAGTTAGAGAAAAATGAACCTCACAAGCTATATCACTACCCCAGGCGAAGTTAATTTAAACATTGGAATGAAAAAGAAGATAATTTTAAACGGGAATTACCTTTCTAGAGCAGTGAAAATGACTGAGGAAGATATTGATGAAAAACAATCTCCTCTAGTGAAGATTTCTATTTTCTTAATCTGAATTGTTAGCTTGTTTTGTTTATATAATACAAAATTACTATTTTCTTTACTAATCCTATTTATCTTTTCATTTTAAATATCTATAAAATACTATTATTTATTCAATGTATTCATAGGAAATATATAATAATAAATCGTAATTTATGTTAAGTTTATGTTACTGATAACATACATAAGACCATATATTATTTTGATGGCTATGGCCAAGGTTACTATATCTGAAATTAACACAACTATCTATTAGTTAAGGCAGTAGTTAAATGTATTTGAATTATCCTTAAAATTGAATATCATCCTAGGAAAAATTATGAAAGTAACAGAATGTGGCGTTAAGATTTTAAAACTGCCGCCTTACCATTGCGAGCTGAAACCGATTGAAATTGTATGGAGTCAAGTAAAAAGGCATGTGGTTGTTTGACAACGTCGATTTTAAAGAAAAAAACGGTAGAATGCTTGATAAAAGAAGCTTACCAAAGCGTATCTAAAGAGCAGGTAAAAAATGTTTGCGGTGGACAATTTGTAGGAAGATATTGAACCGGTGATAAACAATATAGGAGATGATTCAGATTGCGGTTAGTATTAATTAAAGAGAAAAATCTCAGATTTAACGGTCATTTGTTTTTTTAGTCTAAATACTAAACATGAGTGTCATGTCAGCTTTGGCCATTTTAAGGTACGCTAGATGTCTATCCTTGTTTAGAACAGTAACATTATTCATGTACAAATGTAACGCCCCAATCAAACTCCCCGCCTGGCAGTATGCTCGAACCACAAGAAAGTTATTAGGGTATTCGAAACAAAATAAATGAGCTAATAGTTAATTATTTTTTAATTTTTTCTAAAGCCGTCATTTAATTCTAATTTTTTCTAGATATGGCTGTGAACATTACGAATTGGATAAATCTAAACCGAAGGAGTATCAATGGTTTGATGTTATTGCCTTCTAATATTACTGAAATATTTATTTGGATAAAATAAATAATTATTGAGATATGATAAATATGTATTATTATATATAGGGATCTGTACATTTTATCAATGTTTGCATTTTTTTTTATTATTTATTTGTCAACGAGCAATTGCCCAATTTAAATATATTACAATATTATAATACTAAATATAAAATTTTAAAACTCTAATTTATTACATGTCATAAAATTTAAAACTAATATAGACAAAAAAGAAAGATAGTCTTGCATTATTCAAATCATGAATGTGTTGCTTGTGTGAGTCCATTTCAAATAGGTAAAGAAATAATAAATAAGACTTACTCACAATCAATTTAATTTAACTATCAGACGACCGATTTCGCTTTCTACAATATGCAAAGCATCTTCAGGTCTCGATACAAAGTTAAACAAATGCTGAAATGATAAAAACCCATATTAGGGTGTTGTCTAATAAAGATAAACAAAGTAGATGTTATAAATTACAATAATTATGCCAATATTACATGTCTGTGGTTTTATTTAAATGGGTAAGTTGAATAAAAGGTATAACATTTTTTAAAAAAGGTTAAACAGACAAGGCAAGGCCCACAAATTGTTATAAAATAGTCTCTTCGATTGTAATAAATTAATAAATGAGCAAATAAATAAATAAAATAAACATTACTTACATGCCGGTACTCTATTAATAGATGGATGGTAGAACATGTTTGAAACTACTTTATATTGTTGAATGGAGAACTCAATACTATTATTGCAGTTGTTTGACAGTAAACGGGAAGTTCTTGAGGAGATAGATTTGATCCAATGAATTTGAGATATGTGTGAGATTGTTTGTTAAATGTAAGTGATGTAATATACTATTGTGTTATTAAAGGCTATTTATACTTATTCCAGAGATATATTTTTGAAATGTGTGTTATTTATTGAGTAATTGTTTTATGAAGGTGACAGTTTTATGACAATGAATAAGTGTAGATGTAAAATTGTGTGGGTGTGCAATTATTTTCCAACTTGTAGTTATCAAATTACATTGATAAAGTTCTATTGACTATTCCAATAATTAACTCATTGCCAATAGAACTTTATCAAAGTAATTTGATAACTACAAATTGGAAAATAAAGTTCTCCATTCAACAATATAAAGTAGTTTCAAACATGTTCTACCATCCATCTATTAATAGAGTACCGGCATGTAAGTAATGTTTATTTTATTTATTTATTTGCTCATTTATTAATTTATTACAATCGAAGAGACTATTTTATAACAATTTGTGGGCCTTACCTTGTCTGTTTACCCTTTTTTAAAAAAATTTATACCTTTTATTCAACTTACCCATTTAAATAAAACCACAGACATGTAATATTGGCATAATTATTGTAATTTATAACATCTAATTTGTTTATCTTTATTAGACAACACCCTAATATGGGTTTTTATCATTTCAGCATTTGTTTAACTTTGTATCGAGACCTGAAGATGCTTTGCATATTGTAGAAAGCGAAACAGTCGTCTGATAGTTAAAATAAATTAATTGTGAGTAAGTCTTACTTATTATTTCTTTACCTATTTAAAAAAGAAAGAAACAAAACAAAAGGCAGGTCACAATTTAAAATGGATAAACTAAATTACACAGCTAGTAGCATCAAACAATCATGAGCAAGATATTAATTGCACTTTAAAAATACTTTGCTTTTCAAAGCAATCCAACCCATCTGTGTACTGACTTGCAAACCTAGATAGATAAATATTTATAGTTTGTTCGATGGTGGGTAATTTGGAAAGGTTTAATAAGCCTGGTTTGTCTAAAAGGGACATGGACGTTAATTTTTTCTAACAGTTGAGAACTGAAATTATGGGAGTGCAATATATTGTACAGCATAGTTAGATCCTTATGCATCCGTCTGACCTGAAGAGTTCTGACGTTGAAAGAACTTTCAATGTTGGAGTAATTTATTTCGTCAGCTGTATAGTGATCCTTAAATGAAATAAATCTTTATGTTGAACCCTCTTAATAGCCTGAATATGAACATTCTAGTGGGGGGATCAAACAGTAATCCAGGTGAGGTCTCGCTAGTGAACAGTACCTCTAACACTTTAATGGAAGGGATATTAATAAAATCCTTGTGTTTGATAAAGGCCAGCATTTGAATTGACTTTGGAATAGTCATCGATATGTGCAATACGAATGATATAGTGGAATCAAGGACAACACCTAAATATATTTGGTTGGTATGGTTTCTGTTACCGAGTAAAAACCATTCACTGGCTCTTTTTAGCATTGAGTTCCATACTATTTATTTCACACCAGTGGTTCAAATCCGCTTTTAGGTCGTGGTAATCATAGATATTCACGATCTTCTTAAGTTTTAAATCATCCGTGAACATAAGAATGTGCATGGACAAAATCATTATGACTATTATTACTAGTACGACCGAAACTGGTCGAGAAAAGTTGATTTGACATCTTATTTCCACCTTCTAGACCAAAAATTATTTTATGTACCAATAAGATGCCTTAAGCCCAATATTGAGAAAACGCAACACTGAAGTTGTCCCAACTTCTTCTTCTTCTTCAGCCTTAAGTAATCCAACTTTCGACATAGGCCTCCCCCAAATAAATCCAGTGTCTTCTATTTTGCGCCACTTGCTTCTAGTTGTGTCCTCCGATCTTCTTAATATCATCAGCCCATCTCATTTGTCGTCTTCCTATGCTTCTCTTTCCTAACCATGGCCTCAACTGTTGTAGTTTGTGGTTCCATCTCTTATCCTTCAATCGAGCATTGTGTCCTGCGAAGCTCCATTTTAATTTGGCAGCATGTTCTCCTGCGTCTTTTATTTTGGTTTTGCTTCCAATCCATTTGTTTGTTTTTTTTTTGTCTATAAGTCTCACCCCGAGCATTGATCTTTCCATCGCTCTTTGTGCTTTTACTATTTTATCCATATTGGACTTGGTGAGTGTCCCGTCTCAGTTTTCCAAATCCTGCCCATGCTAACCTTATTCTTCTGGTAATTTCGGCAGCTTGATTTTCTTTGTTAATTTTCATTATCTGTCCCAGGTAGATGTATTCGCTTACTGTTTCTAAATTTGTCGTTTAACGTTATTTTTGTAATGTTCGGTGTATTTGTCATTATTTTTGTTTTTCCAAGTTCATCTTAGTACCTACGTTTTCCGAATCTTGAAATAGTTGCGTCATCATGGTCTGTAGTTCTTCGAAACTTGTAGCGAATATTACAATGTCATCAGCGTATCTTAAATGACTCAGTTTTCTTCCACTAACATTTACTCCCGTACCTGCTCAGTTAATGTCTTTGAACACGTCTTTAAGTCCAAGTGTGAATAGCTTTGGAGAGATAACATCTCCCTGGCGAACTCCTCTGTTGATATAGCTTTGGTTTTCGCATCAATTTGTATACAAATTGAAAAAAATTGAAATTGATGTCCCACCTAGCACAGATAAAATCTTGATAAATATATATTTTTCAATGTTTTAACAATACATTGCTACCAAAAACCAAATTTTTATCCAATCTACAACTTTCAATATGCCATTTGTTAATAGAAACCCAAGTTTTGGGACCAATTCCCATTAAAACATACATAGGAAACTGTTATGAAATAAATTTAAACTTTGATTGCCCGAATAAGGCATGTAATTTTCCAAAAGTTACGCCATAGTGGGCTATATCAACTGTTGCGAAAACGCAACGCTGGGCATTAATGGGTTAAGGCTGTTTTATCGGTGCACCAAAACCTAGGGATTGTTTTCTGTTATTTACCGACAAAATGTCTCGAAATTTGGATACGTTATTCGAAATTATGTTGCCTTTAAAATGATAGTTTTACTTTTTTTATTCTTTTGAAACTTCTGTCGAAAAATTGGATTATACTGTTTAACGTTCTATTATAACCAAACTTTTTACGCCCATCACTTGAAAGAGTTTTTTTTTCTGTAATCGTTGATTTTTTTCTCACCTTTCTGTGTCCAGTAATAATCAAGAAAAGCGTGTTCCAACTTTGAAGAAAATTGCTAAAAAATACTAAAGTCTAATAGTGAAACGTGTTACTCATCATTGGCGGTTAGTTTAATCGTTATCGCCTTCGTGACGTCAAATCTTATGAACGTACGGTCAGTTAGTTTGTGTTAAAACTAATTTGAATGGAGAATAATGCATTTGTTGTCATTAAACTACCGTTGGTCGGCGGCACTGAGTAAAGATGGTCTGACGTAAGCATTGTAGAAAAGTAAGTGATACGCCCATTTCAAATCGCAGTGTGCTTAAACTGTTAAAACAGCCTTAAGCGTTTACATTGAGCCCTTAATGCAGAAAACTCATTAAAAAGAGTGGAGATTGAGTTTTAAGATATTCTTTGTGACCTTTCTTTTTCTGAATAATTTTAACTTTGAGATCTAGAGTAATCCAAACTGAAAATTTCTTTTTTGTATGTAGATGCCATGATATTTTATGAGATCTTTTTTATGTTTACTTCAAAATCTATCCAGAATAAGGCCAAGATCTGTTTTTCTTAGATCTGTTATCACTTACCTTTTTGACAATATAATTTCTGGTGATCGAGAAATCCTTCAACTATATTACGAGAAGGATAATTTCAAACCAATATTGATTAATATACTTTTGGGGAAAAACAATACAATAAACTCAGTAAAAGTATAACCATTTATTTACAAACAATACAAAATGTACATACTTGCCTACTTTAGTCTTTTAAAATCACGTACAAAAATAGACGTAGGTTCAAAATATTACAATCAACAAAGAGATCATAAATACACGTTAAAAAATACTTTCTAGATTAAAATCAATTATACATTTTATTCAGACTTATAAATCAAATCCAGAAAATAGTCTATTTGTACAAAAATAAACATAAAATAAACACTATTGTATAATTTCTTATGGGAATAATTTCGCATAAAAAGAAAAATGAAAACTTTAACTCAAGATAAAAAGAAGAATTTATATTCTTAGAATCCTCTTATACGAGCGC